TCAGCCGAAATAGGTGACAGAGGTTGCGAGTTCAGGCAAGCTTTTATTCGTGTAATTAATGCATCGAATCACTTCGAAGTTTAAAATTGTTGTTTTCGCGAAAATTCTCTTCATTGATTTTATATTAGCCTCCCATAATCCGACAAAATGTGGGGAAGAAGGAGGAATAATATTCCATGTTATGCTTTCTTCGGAACTAAAGCAGGATCCGATCTACAAATTCTAAGAAGGTTATCAAGAACATTTTTCGCTCCCCTTAAAGTATGTAGCGTTATCACTCCAAAATAATACTGGAGGGTTTGGTCCGTCTAACAATAAACGTTCTAAAACATGCTAGAAATGCTTCAGTAGACAAATCCCATATTATTTCTAAATGAATAGCCTTTGTACTAAAACAAATAAATATCGCAGTGTATGATTTTAAAGTAACCCTAGATCTCTTCAAATTTGGTTTGGTGATAGCTGGTCCTGCAAAGCCGAATCCTGTTTTTCGAATGGTCTAGTTGTTACTATTCTATCTCTAGATAAGTCTCCCATCATTTGGTTTATGTTTCGGTTTCTTGTCCGAAAGGAAGTCATGCATTTATTACTAACAGATCTAACTCTGTCTCCACCGGAAGGTATCCAGTATAACTGTCTAATAAGAGAAAGTGTTGTTTTAACTACGAATGAAGAGATTTTTTGTGATAATCTATAAGTAATTCAGTTAAATTATGCCTGAATTATGTTCTAAAGAGTGAAGATCTGTGAAATTATGTTAAAGGAGTTGATGTTTCTAAACTTTTGAAAGATTGGAGAAAATCTCCCACCAGCTCGTAAAAGTTCATCGCTGTCGAGAAATACATTTAAAAGGTGAAACCTTGCTATTACTTGGAAGTGATCATTCCGACACCTAATTTGTGGTGTCTGCTGTCCTCAGAATGTTGTACACATTTGACTAGCACCTTTGTTGCATTCTGTAATTCAGCAGCACTCAAAAAACTTTCTTTTCTTAATGGTGTATTGATTCTACTGTTATTCACAAATCTTAAACACCACGCAGTAGTTCTAATAAATTTACCAAATGATGAATACTTTTTGATGAATTTGTTCTCAACGCAACTTTCATCTGTGACTGTTGAGTTCACCAGAGCTCCCTTTCGAAGTTCAAGCTTTTCATTATCTTTGAACTCTTTTACTGATTCTGCGAATTTACGCCACGAATCGATACTCTGTAATAAACTCTTAGGTCCATGCCACCACATATCACTTATTTCGTAGTTCAGCTAACGTTATTATTTTCACGGAATTGGTCTTCATTCCTCTGGTCAGCATATCAGCCGGAGTTTCATCTCCAGGACAATAATTCCAGGACTTAGGTGATGTTTCTCTCGTATTTCCATTACTCGATGTTGGATGAATGACTTACATTTATTTAAATCGCCCTTTATCCAATGTAACATCACAGAAGACTCTGACCAAAAGTATACATTCATCTGGAACTTCTTCTTTAATTGTCCTTTTCACATTTGAGGCTAATCTTACTCTGATGATATGCTCCCATCAGCTCTAGTCTTGGAGGAGACAACTTCTTCAGTGGAACTACTCTGGTTTTGGAAATTACAAAACTACTTCTATTTCACTGTCCTTCGTGACGTATCGCACATATATTACAACTCCATATGCCTTCTGACTTGTGCCGGTGAACCAGTGAACGGTCGATGAAGCATTTGAACGTCTTTGAATTCAGACTTATTATTTTTCAAAAGTAATATCGCGGAATGTTTATGTTCTTTTCTCATTCTGTCTCATTCTGCTGGGAATAGATTGGGATGTCCGATGGCTACGGATCATCCCAATCTATTCCAAGTTGTTAAATTTCCTGCATTAGTATTTTTGCCCTAATAGTGAATGGACATACTATAACTCCAATAGGGTAGTAAAGCTTTCCAATGGTTTTAGAAACTTCTCTCTACGTCATTAGCTTTATTCTCCTTTGAGCTTGATTAGTTAGATTTTGTGATTCTATTTTCAAAAGATCTTCCTTGTAATTCCATTTATATCACAATACCTTCTGCTGCGGAACTTTCCGAATTTTCCCATTTTCATTCTTCGTCAAAAACTTCCTGCCAATTCGCACAATTTGTTTTCCATTTTCATATGTTGAAACCAGCAGCTTTCAATGTATATCTAATGTCTTCATATTCGTATATATTAGTTTAGCTTCGTATTCGTCTTCATCCCCACCTAATCGTCTAAGTATAAACATTCGTTCAATAGTTTAACTGCTTTCTGATTTGTTTCTTTAAAGGTATTTATTGATTAACGGCAAGAAAATGGCCTGGGTAGCAAAAAAAAAAACGCGAGTCATCGTAAGTACTTTCGTGTTAGGTTTTCCGTCTTTATCTGTAAGGTCATTTGCCCGCAAAAATTTTTCAGCATCCCTGTCTTCAGGTGACAGAGAAATTTGGAGAAAGGTGTATTCTATGTTAGCAGTAAGTACTATATTATGTGTACGAAACTGCATTAATATCTTTAACAACGGTGAATTTAAATTAGGACCGAAATAGAGACAATCATTTAAAGAATATTCGTTTTCCGAATGGCTGAATGCATCAAATAAAATTCTTAAGGGTTTATCAGGTCGAGTAACTGGCTGATGAGGCATGTAATAAATTCTTCCTGTTTCTTCAGAACTTTGATTAATTTCCTCAGCTATATTCATTTTTAAATGCTGTTTTATAACTGACTGATACTGCTTATGAAGTAGTGGATCATTTGCCAACCTTTTAACCAGTTTATTAAGGCGAGCTTCTGCATTTACGTAATTCATTTTTAATTCAGACGAATTTTCATTCCATTGGAATTTAACCTCATATCGCTTTTCTTTAAATTTGATAGTTCTGTCAAAATTCTCTAAAATATCATTATGTATTTCACTACTTTCCTTCCCATGTTCAATTTCCAGTGCTTCTAATTCCCAAAACTGCTTTAACTGTGTTGAGATAAATTTATCGTCAACAATAATGTTCATATTTAATAATTCACTAATTATTCGAATCACTCTGGCCTTGAAGGCACCATCCAAATACTGTTTCGGAGGCTACAAGTTTATTTTTAAAACGTTAAAGTCTGCCTGTTGTTACTCCATAATAGTAATTTACTCCAATCAGAACAGCAATGGTTTTATCACTGTATTCACATGAATCAGCTAACTGTAATTTTATTAATTCTTTGTTAAATTTGAACTGGAATATCGGGAAAAGGTAAATTAGTTGCGCATATTTGGTTAGTTTCTAAAGCTTCAATTTATGGTTCATTTCTGTTTTAGAGTTTGACTTTCACAACATTAAGTTCGTTCTGTTGCCTGGTTAACTCCAAAGGCAAATACAGACGAAGTGTCTTTTCGAAAAACAGTTAATTTACACTTTTTTTATATGTCCCGAACTATAAAACTTATCTTCGAAGCATAGAATAAGAAGTGGTTCTAAGTTATCCTTATCAAGAGAATGGACGTATCATTACAGTGCGCGTTTGTAGCAATGTATTGCGGAATGTTTCAGTTTTCAATTGACTAATCTGAACATCTCCTTTACCGGGCGAAATTGCCTACACGACTTTTTTTTTTTTTTTTTTCTGATTTTGTGTCTAGTTGGAACAAATAGACCTATTGTATTTTTTATTACATATTTCACACATTTTTATTTCTTTACATTATTTATGCTGAGGTTTAAGGCATAAAAATACAAGCTTGACTTTTTAAACTATTTATTTTCTCATCCACGGTTTTAATTTCACAACGCTCAAAATCGTGTATTTCGTTACAATATATATAAATATTTCTAGCGACTGGAGCAATATATTCGTAAGTTTGAGGCGAATTGTTATCAAACTGTTTATTGTGCTTGTTGTTTACATTATCGTGCGCTAAGTGGAGACGATAGCAGTCTGTAATTTTTTTCTGCAGGTCTTGCAGTAGTAAGCCCAAACCGGGCAAGCATAACAGAGCATGGGACGCAAAATGGGATGTATAAATAAGTATTTTGTTATCGATAGATAAAACACTGTTTCGCGCAATTAGGAGGAAGAGTTCAACTTTAAGTACACCTGATTTGTGCGATGTTTGTTTTCGTTTCTCTACTGCCATTAATTGCGGAGCTCTTTTGCGACTTTCGATTTCTTTACGAATAAATTCCATTAACTCATTAACATTCCAGATTTAGTCAGTTTTTCTACTGCCACTATATTCTAATGTAATCTCTTGTGGAATTAATTCTAACATCATTGGACAAAGTAAGCTACCATAAGTTTCTGATACCACGTTCATTGACCTAAAGCATCTAATTTCAGTTTCACACTGATCATACAGTTTTCAAAGATTTTTCTATATCCCTTCCATTTCTAACAGGGCAAAGATCCAACAGTTTATTCATGCAAGCATTTATTACCAACTCTTTTCTCCCAAACCTGTTAGTTAAAAATTCTTAAGTTGAATCGTAATTCTCATTTATAAGCGAAAGTCCGGAAACGACATTTATAGGCTACCCGACCTAATAGCGACTTCTCAAGTAATTAAATTTATTTACTTTCGATAAGGAGTCATTGTTATGGATAGCTGCTTCATATTGACTCCAAAACTCCGGCCATTTGCTTCAATCACCAAAAAAATCATTTATAGTCAATTAAGGTAATTGTATAGATGAAGTTTTTGTACTTCGAAGATTCTGTATTCGGAAGACAATTAGAACTGGCCACATTTACTTCTTCATTAGAATTATAGTCTCTGGTGCTTTCTAATAATTCTATTATAACAATTAGATTACTCTTGTATTCTAATAGTTATTGTGATACTCTTCTACTGAATTAATTTCTGCATCAAAATTCTTTAAATCTGTTTCTTTCAGTATAGAATTATTAGTTAATTTGATATTTTCAATTTTAGCATTCAACTGATTCAGTAATGCCTTTAAATTACTCACTGGCTTATTTTCTTCAATATTTTTGTCTGTTTTACTGATAAGCTTTGTAACTGGGCTCTGTTGACTAATTCTTACTTTTTCAACTTTATTTTTTATTATTTCTGTTATAAATAGAGAAAATAAATGTTGTTACCTTTTCAGATGTATAGTCAACCATTTAATGGAATCCAAATCTTGACGCTTACGATTCTTTACAGCAGTTCCAATGAAATACAACAAGAAGTGCAAATACTTATCCAAGTAAATAATACCCAAATGCAGTCAGTTTTAGCTCATTTTGACGCAAAACAACATAAATCCAAATGCAAAGAATGCGTCGAAACGAAGAATCGAAAATGTAACTTCTCGGCCGATGCACCAAAGTGTTCGGTAGACAGTAGACAAAATGGCGCTGCGTATCTTCGAAATTCTACGATAACTGTATTTAAGACAAGCAGCATCTAAAATTTTACAAGTAGTGGTTCGGTGATAATTCTGTATTCAAATATAGCCATTCTAGTTGTAAAACGAATTTATTTGAATATCACAAATTCTATAATCTAATCTAACATGTCATCGGCAGCGCTCACGCTACATCAAAACAAATCGAAAATCAAGTTCTCAATTTCAGACTGTGTCGCTCAGACGGTAGTGTTTAGAGAAGCCGACTGCGATACCAAAGGGCCCGGGTTCGAATCCCAGAGAAGGCATAGTTGTAATTGTCCGTCCCTTCATAGGAGGCAAAGGTAGCCCACCTAGTAGGTGCCTCCATAATAAAGTGACACAACTTCTGGCCTTAGTAGTGGCCAAGCCGAAATCGGCTGAAGGCCCGCTATTGGTTAAAACAAAAACAAAAAATATTCAGACTGTTGCCATTCAAGGGCCATAAAAAGTTTCCATTCAAACCGGAACAATCGTTATACAAAAGTCATATGAATACACCAATCTAGAATTAACGCAGTCCAGAAACTGTTATTACTAATTTTAGAATAGAGAGGGGAAGTAAAAAATTAAAAAGGGGAATTAAGAGGCTATTGCTAATTTGAATTATAATTTATAGATACAAATTTTTTATCTACATATATATGCGTGTGTGTACCTGTGTCTGTGTGCACAAGAAGGCACTCATACGTGTAATTTTTTATCACAGTGATAACAACAGATAAAACAATTAACAGATAAAAAAATTAAAATCTCCAAAGTTAATAGTTTATATCAATAACTCGAACACTTTTTAACATGTTAACATAAAATAATAATTATATTAAAATTTTAATCAAAATATAGTGCAAGGTATGTATAAAATATAGTATTTCTAAATATATACAAAATATACTATAAATATAAAATATAGTATTTTTAAAAATTACAAAGATTTTAAATACATGAGCGCTTTAGCAGAGCATCCTGAAATCATCTCTGACATCCACTGAGCATGTAAAAACATTTCTTTTCAGATTTAATACAAAATTTTAATGCCATTAAAAAATGTCTTATTTTATTCTTTAGAACCAAGATAATTTATTGACTGCAATAAACACATACGCTAACTCAAGGCACTCAACTCGAGGGCAAATTAAGTTATATCTAGGGACTGCGGGCCATATAATATTTTATGTTACGCAAATATTTAGAAATATACCATATAATAATAATCATGTGTTATTTCAAGATTTTTATGTCATTAATGTCGAATAATCTGGTTATAATGCTAGTTCTAAGGTGTGAAAAGTGAAAAATTATATGCATTTTCGGAAATTCAGCCAATAATAATAAATATCGTTTATTTAGCCACGGGCTGCAAAAAAGGACCTCATGAGTCACATGCAACCTCTTCGCGGCCATTAGAAGACCATCACTGCGCTGACTCAATCCTTTGTGCAGAATTGTTACATTGGAACCGGTAGAGGAAGGCTTCATATTTTTTGACATTTACTGCCGGAAGCGACATTTCGAAGAAATTCTAGAAATTAAAAGGGTAAGTTTATTAACCCAGGCTTTGCAGTGAATGTAGAGATGGGGCAGATAAATCAACTTCGCCATCAAGCGTTTTGACCTGTTATATCCTGAGTGGTTACACATACTTTAAATATAACTGTACCCTTTAAATTACTATAACACGAAATTGGCATTAAAGTTTTGCTCATATCGATGTTATGAACTAATACATATACGCAATAATCCAAAAATGCATAAAAGCATGCGACTGCAATATAATACGTAAAACTTTTAATAACTGTTGTTTTGTTGCTGTGACTTGTTTCGCTTGTCTGACAACATCAGAACAAGCATACGAAACAAGCATAGAGCGAACAAGCATATACTGACACGAAAAAGCATCAGAACAAGCATACGAAATTCACCGTGGCAAGGAGTTAAATGCGCCTGTCGTTGGCAACAGCCTTGCGCACGATATAGGTGGCATTCTGATTTTAGCTCAGTTCCGCCCCCAGTTTTGAGAGGGAGCACTCCAGTGAGACGGGTCCGAGGATCTCCCACCCTCTTTACTTACCACAGCCTCTCGAGAGGACTTTCGGTTCGCCGCATATTTAGAGTAACCTCCTGTCGCACAGACACTATACATTTACAAACATCCATGCCTTCTCCGGGATTCGAACCCGAGTCCTTCGGTACGGCAGTCAGCGTCTCAACCACTATCTCGTTTTAGGCGGCCTTTTAATATCTAAATATAGAATGACACTCAGTTATTACAGGTGGAAGAGGAATGTGACAATGTTCTGAAGTTCTGAGCTAATTTATCTGACTAAACAGTCCCGAATGAACACATGAAAGAATTCTGTGAATCCTAACTAAAGTGAGCAGAATTACAGTTGTTTATGGATTAGCCAATTTTTAGCAGTTACAGGTAAAAATAAATGCACATGTACATAAAAATGTTAAATAAAAGTGTGTCTTGCAATGCTTTTATACATTTCTATCTGTGTATTATATAAATAATGAACAATGTTATTTTTAGTTTTCCTTTTCTATTAGACATACATTCTTTCTTTTAGACATACCAGCATTTATGACGCAGCACTATCTTCTCAATAGTAAAATCTTTATTTCGCAATTC